CCTTGGAGGCACTCTTCTGCTTGCGTTTGGAGGCATAGTGTAGTAGCCTAGCTGTGAGGTGGTCGGTAGAGTTGTGCGGCCATTCAAGGTCTTAAGGAGCAAGCCAACTGTGTCCTGCCGACCAGAAAGGGAATGATTCATGACCCATGCTCCTTTTGTCAAATAGTCACGCAGGTTTTGCTTGCCAGGGCTTATCTTCCCTGAGGAAAAATTCGACACCAAGAGTGTCGCTTAGGCCTGAAGTCGCTTCTGTCGTGAGTGTTTGCGGACATTTGTTTGCTGTTTTCTGCTTCGACACTTCCGCAGAACTTCCATGATTTGACGACAATACGTCAGTGCCAGGATGTTATATCATTGTCAAGGCGGTCGGTTCTTCTTTCTGTTTTTCAAAATACAACTCCAAATCTTGCATAGCCTGCATGCCGATAACGTGTGAATTATTCGAAGTCAACTTCTTCTTCTTCATGGACGCACATGGTGTCTCGTTGACTTCTGACCACAGCCCGGAAGCGTCTTTGACTGAAATCCCTTCTGTGTTTTTGTTGTGGGTCCTTTTATGATGATTCTGATGTTTTTTAAGTTACCGTAGTTGTCTGTTGTAAATTTACAGTCTGTCACTGCCTTCAGAACCATTGGCTGATTGCAATATGTGATAGTAGAGGAGGAGGCTACTGGCTGATGTAGAGTCCAGCCTAAACTAATTTTGACGACATTGAGTCCATAGTCCAATTTTCGCGTATTGCTTGTGAAAAGTGACTAATAATAGTCACTAGCGATCAACACATCGATCGAGTTTGGGCTTGCGGCTTGATCAACATCAGAGAAGTAACATTCTTTCTGTTCAAGCTTGTCAATGAAGGCCTTATGCAGTCGTGGGACCGACTGGTGACAGATGTTTGTCGTGACGAGGGCTTTGATCAATAGTGTCGTCTTACTGCACTGAGAAGTTAAAGTGACGAGGACACGCTAGAAAGTCTTTTCACCATGTTGTCCTCCGAAATATCCCACCGTTAGGTTCTCGTGATCTAGTACGGGACAATTTAAATTTTCAGCCAAGTGTTCAGTAATGAAACTTCGCTGGCTGCCTCCATTGAATAAAACTAGAACTAGGCATGTGTTTCCTTTTCCAGTGGCCCAAGTTGTAGCTGTCGGAAGAACCACAGGCCGTTTAGAGCTGCCCGTTCCAATAATTTCTAGCTTCATCGGCGCTGCTGATGTTTGTGGACTGTTAATAGATTTCAGCAACCGGGGATCACACAATGTTTCAGCACGGTGTTGATTGCACTTTGTACATGTCACGTTGCTGCTGGAATTTTTCGTCAAATAATGCTGAAATGCACTTAGCAAACATCGGCCCACTCTGAGTAGTCGTTTTTTGTTTTTCTCGAAAGGAATCGGACAGTCACACTGCTCTGTAGTATGGGCGTTGGCCTCACAAAAAAAATCTGGCGTTCTTGCTTGAAACTGGTTTCGCCGACGTTAGTAATGACTCGGTTGTGAACTCTTGACGTCACGAAGAAGCTGTCGTGATAGTGCGTAAATCTCTACCTTGGAACTTCGACATGTGCTTTTTTGTAGATGCGTGCAGGACAACAGTTCATTCGCGAGACTGTACTTCTGTCTGAATGAAAAAATAGCAAAAATTCCATGCTACCTTCGGGTACTTTGGTGGGCCGTCCTAGGTGCTCTGTGCGTTGGCATGCGATGGCCTTGTTGAAGTCAAGGACGATATCCTGAGGAAGCGACTTCAGTAGGATGCAGTAGAACATCACGGTGTAAATGTCCTCCGATACTCCGAGAGTCTTGAGGACAAGAGTCTGGGTTTGAACCTAATCATAAAGGCATTGAAGTACTCGAAGATCATTGGAGGACTGCACAGTTCGCATATCGATGGGTCGCTGCATGTGAGTCTGAATGATGACATTGATCTTGGCAAAGGATCTTTTTAAAAGGTCCAGGGCTTCACAACAGCAGCTTGCCGTTGCTGGAAATCCCGCAATAGCTGATGCCGCAGTGCCGGTCAGAACCGAACGTAAATAGACGAACCAGTCTATGTCGGCGAGCACACTACTTTTGTGGATCAGTTGATTGAACTGCTCCCAAAAAGGCGTCCACAATGATGTTTTGCCTTCGAACTTCATGAGGTTGATTTTCGATAGTTGGATGGTAGGCTGGGGTGTGCGTGACGGGTTCAGTAGGTGCTGCCGGGGGTAGTGCATAGTTCCACGAATCTTTACGTTAGCGTAACCTGTACTTCAGCTTAGCTGACGTGGTCGTGACTTGATTGCTGCATTCCACAACCCCTTTAAAATCTGTCTTCGCTTCTGTAGTTAATAGCAGAAGGACAATGTCCAAGTCGGTGACCCTCAAGTTGGTGTGCAGCTGGTTGATGCATTCTATGAGGATGCAAAGCTCCTCTTCCGTGACGCTTTCTTTAGTGAGCGTTGCCTCTGCCTCGTTTATAAACGTACTAATTGGGCTTTCCCATATTTACGTTTCAGTTTAAGAGATTTCATGTTGCGTCGACGCGTTAAGCAGCTGTAAGTCGGTCAGTCAAATCCGTATGCAGGAAGTCAATTACTTTGAGTTCGACGTGGTTTACTGTTCCGATGACTTTCAGCCCCACTTTCAGAAACTCGAGCATCTCGTTGCCTAGAAAAAGGCGTTTATTTGCAATAAACCGCAGCCCAACTCCGTGGATTGCTGCTGCAGCACGTGACTCCGAAGCCCAGTTCTTCGTCTCTTCCGTCTTCAATCTTTTTTTCCAACATTCCATGCTGACAACAATTGGAGGCCTCGACGTCCATCGCATTCACCGTCACCGAGAATTGACCTAGCACACTGCAGCGGCTTTGCTCAGTGTAGTTGCGCTAGGCGTACTACGGAAGAATAATGGCAACAACTTGGGAAGATGCAGAGGCTGTATCACAAAGTACCAAATATTCTCCAGTGCCAATGACGACGCAGTGACGAAGAACATGCCGCAAGCCAAATGAGGCCTTCAGCACAAATTTCTAATGCATGGAGAAGGTCTTGCGACACTATGAAGTCAAGCCGGTATACCCGTGATGCTGATATATCCGTGATATACCAGTGTACACGCGGCAGCCACCGAAGAAAGGGTGAGCATAAGAAGCTCCCCAAAGAAGTTCCTAAACAAGCGTTTTCCACCATCTCACCTACCTGAATAATAAGAAGACGTTTGATTGAAAAGAAGCAGGAGAGGTTGGTACGAGTATCTATCGTGCTACTCCTCACAGGGAAAGGGGTAAAAGGAAAGAAACACAGAAGCATGATGAGAGGCGAGTCTGGTATAGAAAATTGGGTCAGTTCACACACTGTCCTGTGTGAGGAAGGATGCGCCCGAAAATCTCTACGCATAAGCCACATCACCCCAGGCTCTTGTAGCGCCGCGCCAGTTTTGGCCAGCTGGCCGAGCAGAAAAGGAGCCACGTGGCTCGCGCTACGCGAGCCACGAGAACTGACTGGCTTAGCTCCTGGCCTGGCTGGACGCTGCTGCTGCGACTCCGCCTGCGCCTGTGCCTCAAATAGAAGCGGTGACCTCGGCACTGTCTCATCGCGACCGTCTCGTCTCACGTTCCTCTACTCCCTAAAGACGCGAATCTAAACCCCTGTCGCTGATAAATCTGGATAAACCCTGCAAGGCGGCGTTGTACGTAATATAATAGTTCTCAAGCAGCTAAAAACTTCTCCTCCGGAAAGAGTCAGCAGTATAGACGATCTATAGGGTGCTTCACTGAATACCTTTCGGCCGTGTACTGAGGGCCCACGCACAGAATGTGATGAATAGTTTCCATTGTGTGACAAACAGTGCATTTGGAGCTTTCTCCTGTTCAATCTTGTCATTGTAATATCACGTATACGAAAGACGTAGCCGCAGTCTGTGTACTAGCTTTTCTTCAGCAGGCTTTTACAGGTATGAAATACCTACCACTGCTTGTGTTTGCTAATAATTCGAAAGAAACTTCCTTTTTCTCACAACAATGGGCACATGCGCGACAAACATACATATCCCTACGTCCTATTATTTGAGCTTAACCACCAATAAACCAAAGTTCTTTTTTGTAGAGGAGCACAGATGGCTCACTAGCACAGCTATCAAGTCTACAAAGATTTCCCAATTTCGTAATAGCTGAAGAGCAGCAGCACATTTACCTTTCTTTTGTTTCGCTTAAATGGCATTGCCTAAGCAGGTGCATTCCGTAGTGTTGTCTCAATCAATTACTGTGCTTGTGAAGACGCTTGTTAATGCAGCGTTCCATGGGCTCGACCCCATATAACGGGAATCTCTTAGATTAGGGGTTGCCGACAACTTGTCAGGTGAAGAACTAACTTTTATGAAGCCAACGCGGCTGGGGGTCACTTGGGAAAGAGAGGTGGGGGGAGTGGCGTGGCTTTTCAGGCAAAGAGAAACAATTCAAAAATTTGAATAATATACAAATATGAGAAACGCAGGAATATAAGTATGGCAATGATATTTATTTTCCGCACAATAACCACAAAGTTGCAATTCACGATCAAGCGTTGCCTGCAAAAGCCTCATTTGAAGTTAAAACTGTCTTGTCGGCTTTTATTTATGAAGTTAAAAAGAAAAGGGTCAAAGGTTTTGGCGGTTTTGCAGTAAACCGCAGGCTGCGCACCCCCTTTTTATAGTTATGTTCTACAGAGGACCAAGTTTAGTAAATCATTCCGCAGCGCTCGCTATCGCGAAATGTTTGGTGTTTCTTTTATGATGATTTCCGTCTATGCTTATTGGCGTCATCTGATCACGTCGTCCCACAATCAAACATGGGGCCACTAGAGAAGGCTTTGCAATACATTATGGCATGCAGAACTCTGATTGAAGGGGTTGGAGAAGAGAATCAATGCATCTAACGAGAAGAATAGGAACATGGCTTTCGCTTTCCCGGCATCTTGGGCGAATGCATGTGAAATGCTGTAAAATTTTACTCATTTTCTTTAACGAATAACCCACTTACCTAAAATGCCGTTTGACTTTCTTCCATTGGCGATTTTCGTCATGTCAAGCCTGTAATAAAAGTTCAAGTTCTATTTATATATTAGTGTAGTTACATCATCACCGACATATTGCGTCAAATGGCTTAAAAGCACTTCAACGTCTTTCGTGTACTATAAAAAAATGAACATTGCACTTTAACTGCATGCTTGATTTGTTCTCGCAAAACATTTTACCGAACAAGAAGACACCATAGCCCTTTACTTACCCTGTCACGAGGTACACTACATCAAATTTGCCCGGTATTCTTCCTTCCTTTTTGTAGTGTTCTAGTCCACCTAACATCTCTCCCGCATCAATTTCACGACCATTATTTCTAGCAAAGTCGTGGTCCTATAATAAATAAAACAAAAAGCAAGCGTGTGTTAGTTTGGTGCTGAATGGCTAACGCTGCTGCTGAATGAATTAGCATTTTCGAGAACGTGTGAAGCGTTTCCGTTGACTGGTGAAATTTTCTTCATGCATGAAGTGTTTGACGGGGAGAATTCATATGGGATCGTCTTTGTCGCATTTAGCACAAAAATGTACGATTCAACGCAAAAGATATTACGTTATAAAAGCATCACCGAGAAACTTTTAATCAATCTGACAAATACTTGGATGACTTATCCCCTCGGGCTCTTCTGACCTGAAACATCAGTGACCCATACTATAACAAATATTTTCATAAGCACGAAGAACACGATCGTGGAAGAAAAAAGAATTATTCAAGAAAGCATACCAGAATATAACAATGCTTTTAGCAATATTTTTAAAGTCATGCACCTCTAAGAAAGAACGTCCCTGGGTACTCGTTCAGCTATTAAGGTACGTAACCAATATATGGTGTTGCTTCTGTTCTAATAGTATAGTGTGACAACATGTGGAACAACTCTGTAGGCTTCGGCGATTGATATTGCCAAGTCGAAATGCTAACACAAAAAATCATTCTTACTTTAGCTCTTGTGACCCCAACAAGAAGGAACTTCACTTTTGGGTTGCCCATCTCCAGGTACCTCAAGTTCGCCTAGAAGAAGAAAACATGCTCAAGCCACAGGGAAAGGTAATGCGGTGCTTTCTTGAAAAACAACCAAAATTGTTTCTCATTAAACACAGTTTTGCAATGAAGCTATCACCAATATTATAATCGTCATCGCACTTATCAGACTGCGTTTTTCTGTAAAGTACAGGTAGAGGCCATTTCTAATGATCTCTAGTTCGACCTATCTTGTGCAGTTTCATTCCATTTTAACCAAAAAAAAACGTCCTAATTCTGCGACTATCTAGTGGCCTGTTGTGCTTCACGGCATTCAAAAGCTCCAACACAGCGCCGGTTGGCTGTCATTCGCGATACGTGGACAGCTCATGTTAATTTTTTTCTCACAAAGTAAACTAATGATGATGATGGGTGGTTTTTTAATGGCGCAAGGGCCAATTGATGGCCAAAGAGTGCCATTTCGATAGACTAGAGATATGAACAATGATATGATGCATGGCTGTAAAGGGGCCTTAAAATTCCTCGCGCTAACGCGAGTAAAAACGTAAGTATTAAAATTGTGACAGTGGCGTGAAATATGTACAGTGACAGTGAATTTCGAAAGGTCATGATAATAAGACTATGGCAGAAATGTAGTCACCACAGGTCCTGCTACAGATCCCCTTGAAATATGAAGTGAAAACTATGTGCATCATTTAAAAATGTAAACAATGGGTGAAATTTACAAGTCAGATTCCTATCAATAAGCATCCTAGGTTGTATTGGGAGCTTCTGTCGGTAGGGCAGTAAAAAATTTTGGTTTCTTAGAGCGTCCAACTGATTACACTAGACGAGAATGTGGAGAACCAGAAGTGGTTCTTCACATATCGCACACAATGGTGGATCACCGGCATATAAATGTGTTGAGTATGTATGCCGTCATCTTAGCCTTGTAAGTGTTATTTCTGTGTGTCGCGATTTTTATAGTGGCGGCCAATGACCAAGTTGTGGCTTAATAACATGTAGTTTATTACTTGTGTGTCTATTCCACATGTTTTGTCAATAACCTCTGAGCTTTCGTTTCAGGAAAGGTTTCATGTCAAATGCAGAGATTGGTATTGATGCATTGGTGGCATCGTTGCTGGCGGATGCAGCCAGCAGATCTGCCAAAACGTTCCCTGTATTTCACGGTGCCCCGGCACCCAGCAGACTACAACATGGTGTTCGGATGAGTAGACTGTGCATAATAGTGAATAAAGGGACTCAAGAACTGGGTTTTTGCGTGTATAAAGTGTTTTCAAGGCTTTCAACACACTCAGCGAATCCATGTATATTACCACTTTTTGTAGTTTTATATATGCAATGTGTTTAACAGCTGCAAGTATTGCGTAGGCTTCTCCTGTAAAAATGCTTGCTTCACGATGCAGGATGCCAGTATTTGAGAAGGATGGACCAATGGCTGCGTATGAAACAGAAGTGTTGGACTTTAAGGCATCTGGAAAAAAATCAGGGCGTGTGTACTTTTGTTGTAGTTCTAGCAAGTATGTGCGGATATGTGCAATGGGTGCATGCTTTGTAAACTTTAAAAAAGGCATCACAATCTATCAACTGCTTTCACTATGGTGGCGGGCGTGCTGCGGGAGCCGTCAGATGATATTCGAGCGACACACCAGTTTCCTCAGAAAGGCCCTTCACACGTAGCGAATAGGATTGTCTCAAAAATGGACAGTTTTGAAACAGAACAGAAGTAGATGTGCCATCAATTGTGAAATGTTAAGGGTGGTCCTTGTCTTCCTTCACTTTGAGATAGTATAGAAAAAACATGTAACATCTCTGTAGGTGGAGTGACCATTCGTTCGATTCCAGGTACAGGCTTTCAACGGGGCTAGTGCGAAAGGCACCCGTAGAGAAGCGAATTCCTAGGTGGTGAATAGGGTCAAGCATCTTTAGGGCAGTGGGTGTCGCAGACTGATAGATTATTGCTCCGTAATCGAAGCGAGTGCATACGAGGCTCCTGTACAAGTTCATGAGACACTTCTTGTCACTCCCCCACGTAGTGCGTGACAGCCCTTTTGGAACATTCATGGTTCTGATGCACTTGTTTTTTAGATACCGATTGTGTGGTACGAAGGTTAGCTTGGTGTCCAGAATTAGGCCCAAGAATTTGTATTCGGCATTAACAGACATGCGTTGACCATGCAGTTGAATGTCAGGGTCGGGGTGAGTGCCTCTCTTTCTAGAGAACAAGACACACGTGCTTTTTTGGGGGGTTTGATCAGAATTCATTTTCCTCAGCCCGTGTGGAGACCTTGTTCAAGCCAAGCTGAACCTGCCGCTCACAAATTGCCAGGTTACCAGACTTAAATCCAAGCTGGACGTCATCAACATATGTACAGTAAAACATATTTTGTGGGATAGAAAGACGCAAAGAATTCATTTTGACAATAAATAGAGCACAACTAAGTACACCTCCTTGCAGTACTCTTGTTTCTTGGACAAATGTTCGGGAAAGAACACTGCACACTCTGACACGGAATATACGATTGGACAAGTAGCTTTTGATAATAGGAAACATCTTGACACGAATACCAAGATTGGACAGGTCTTTTACTATTCCGAATCTCCATGTCGTATCGTAGGCTTTTTTGATATCGAGCAACACAGAAGGAAAGTATTGTTCGTGGACGAAGGCGTCTCGGATCTGCGCCTCAATACGTAGCAGGTGGTCGGTGGTGGATCTACTCTCTTGGAAGCCGCATTGGAATGGGTCGAGCAGATTGTATGTTTCAAGGTAATGTACAAGTCGGCGATTTGTCATTTTTTCAAAACGTTTATACATGCAAATTGTAAGTGCGATTGGCTTTTAACTACTTACAGAAGAGGGATCCTTGCTTTGCTTTAAAATCGGAATAATAATGGCTTTTTTCCAGGCAGAAAGTATTTCACCGGAAAACCAAACAGCGTTATACAAAGGAAGCAGGGTTTTTTGTGTTTGAGGAGGCAGTTGTTTCAATATTTCGTAGGCTATACGGTCCAAACATGAAGCGGATTTGTTGCAGATATAAAGCGATGCTTGTAACTCGGCCAAATAGAAAGGGTTGTTGTCCGACTCAAGTTTAGAGAATTTTTGCTGTTGTTTCTCTTTTTCAGTTTTTCTTTTGTGTCGTTGAAAAGCTGCAGGATAATGCGACGAGCTAGACACCTCTTCGAAGTGGGCACCGAGGAAGTTCGCCTAGTCTTCCAAGGTGTCCCCTTGTGAGTCTACCAGAGGTAGTGAAGATTCGTGTTGTCCTGCTGCCTTGCGAACCATGTTCCAGACTTTAGTTTCTTGTGTATATGAAGTGATGCCTGATAAAAACTTATGCCAACTTTCTCTCCTAGCCTGCCGGCACGTTCTCCTTCCTTGGGACCTAATTGTCTTAAGTATTTCAAGATTCTCTGCTGTCGGCGAATCCCGTAGCAACCTCCACGCTTTGTTTTTTTTTTTGTTTTCGTGCATTGCGACATTCAGAGTTCCACCATGGGACACGTCGCTTGCCAGGCAGTCCAGAAGCTTGCAGGTTGCATTTCATCGCAGCGTCGGTCAGAAAAGCTGAAAAGTGTTGTACAGCTGCATCTATGTTTAAACTAGACAGGTAAGTCCAACTTAAGTGAGTAATCTGCGAGAACTGTTCATATCAGCTTTGTCAGTAATCCATCTGGGGACCTGTGAGAGATATTCATTTGATATGGGTGTGCCTAGCATTACCGGAAAGTGGTCACTTCCGTAAGTATTATTGATGACGTTCGATGCCAGTAAAGGAAGGAGGGATGGAGAGACAATACTGAGGTCTATTGACGAGTAGGTATTGTTGGTGAGGCAGTAGTATGTGGGCTTTTTTCGATTTAGAAGACACGCGCCAGAAGTAAAAAGAAACCGTTCAATCAGGCGACCTCGAGCATCGCAGCGAGAGTCACCCCAAAGATTGCTATGCGCATCGAAATCTCCAAAAAGAATATAAGGTTCTGGAAGTTCATCTATGAGGGACTGGAGTTCACGCTTTTCAAGACGGTGTTGTGGAGGTATGTATAGAGAGCAGATGGTGAAGAGCTTATTTAAAAGAAACTGCTCGAACAGCCACCGCCTCAAGATATGTTTGTAGTGGTAAGTGTGTGCATGCAATCTCTTGATTGGCTATAATGGCAACACCACCGGATGCCACAATGGCATTATTTAGGTTAGTTTGAAAGATAACGTATTTGCGTAGAAAGTTAGTAGGTTTTGGTTTCAAGTGTGTCTTTTGCACACACAGCACTTTTGGTGTATGTTCGTGTAAGAGCTCCTGGATATCGTCGAGGTTTCCCAGCAGTCCTCTGACGATCCACCGTAGTATGTGTGTCATTTTAGTCTTGTGTGGTGCTGCGTGTACAAGAGTGTCTCTAGCTTACAGGGCCTTTGGGGGGCCCTGTAATTTGGGTTTTTCTCATTTTTGGCGTGCGCCGAAGAGCTGCGCCTCTCCTTCAGCGTCTCGGCTGCCGGAGGAGTCGTACTTGTATCCATCGCCTCTTGTGAGGTGGTGTATGGTGCCTGATTGGCAGGCACGTTCACAAAACTTTCGGACCTAACTGCGTTTGCAGTGGTCCGAGGTCCAGCAGACTGGGGAGTCTGCTGGCCCTGTTTGTTAGGTGGCGGAGCAGTACTGGCTGCTCCACCCAGGGGCGCTTGTGGCGCGCCCGCAGTCTCCCTCTGTGTGACTTTTGCGGGCACGGAAAGATTCGGCGCGGCACCCCAGTGCGTCACATCGGCGAAGGAGGGACTGGACTGGTGGATGGAGACCCGTTTACGTGCTTCTTGAAAGGACAGATTGAACTTTACTTTAATCTCAAGGATTTGTTTTTCTTTCTTCCAGATTGGGCACGATCTCGAGTAGGCAGCATGGTCTCTTTCACAGTTCGCACAACATGATGCGTTTAATTTACATGTATCTGATGCGTGCTCACTAGATGCTCATTTTGCGCAAGTATTGCGCCCTCTGCAACTTTGTGACCCATGTCCAAAGCGCTGGCACTTG